ATTGGTCAATTCGGCACGCACCGCTTTACATAGTCGGCGGGTAAACGTGCAACTGTCCAATGCGGGCCTCGTGTTACCACGTGACCCCGCCCCCCTGAGAAACTCCCGCGAAAACCCATCAGGAAGTGGCAGGCTGTTAAAAATGAACAAAAGGATTTTTCATGTTTGCCCAGCAGATGGCGACATAAACACATGTTTACATTTTTTAGTGGGACTTTTGCATTTATTTGAAGCTTTTAAGAGAAAGCAGTTAGTGTCAAGTATATAAACAGTAATAAGAAAACATAGCAAGACTTTTAATAAGAAGAACGACAAATGGAGCATGCATGTGTTCTTTCAAATTAAAGTTACATTTTACTCTTCCACTGATAAACATTAAGCATCCTTTCAGACAATCTGCATTTAATTAAAAGTTTTCATATAAAATAAGACTGAAAATGAACAATAATAACTTGCCTACATACTGTGTACTATAATAATAAATAGTAATATACTATTTTCAGTTTTTTATTTTTTATTTTTATGTGGACATCTGTGCTTTGACCAAACATTATAGACTTCAAGGAACTTGATGATTTTCATAATCTGGAGTTTACATTTTGGAAAAATTCATTAGTTCCAAATTAAGTTATTGTAGAAAAACATCAGCTCAGTGTGAGGGGGTCATACGGGACGTTTTCTCAGATTTGACTGCTTCTGTGTGGAATGACTCTACGCTATAATAACATCGCCAGCAGAGAGTCCTCAAACATAAAATATGAACACTGTCACTGCCCAATAAAGAGTCACTTCCATTCACAGGGTAACTAATCATTTCCCCCACTGTAAGTGGAAAAACATGTTCCCCTCACCGTGGAAGGTTAATGTCTTTATCAGTTGTTTTGCCTGCTAGTTTTTACAAATACCTTCTAATCTGCACTGCTTTGCATTTCAGGTGTGAATAACATGTTTTATCTGTCATCACAGACTGTTTTATCTCCTTCATCAGCATCAATACCCATCTAAATCCTTTAAATGTAATTTCACCTGCTATATTTGGTCCACTCTGCAATCAGGAATATCTCATCGGGATTATAATCAGAATAATTACTTTTTCCTTTTTTTAATCCGAATGCTGGCATCATGCACTGACTAATAGGTTCCCAAAAGATTATCCTAAATTTGGATCATGCTATTTTAATTATTCTCCTGCGATCATCATTTCCTCACCAAAATCATTCACTGTTTCTAAAGGGTTGAAATTTCGCAGGAATCATTTTAGTGTCAAATGACCAAAGTGTGGCCAGAAACCAAAAACACGTTTGTGGGGCACGAGGACGACACATCAAGCCAACAAATTCTGAGCATCACGCATGTCATTTCTTTTTCATTTAATATTATCCCTCTAATGTAAACGTGGGCGTGATTCCCTGTTCTGTCCTATTCTTTGATTGCTTGGTTTTCAGTGAGTTTATAATCCCATCTCAGGCTGTTTTGTGTCTTCTGTCTGGGGAACTTACCAAATGTTGATCTGTCACTTATCTCAGGAGGGCTGATACAGCAGACACTTCTGTGTTTGGGGACGAGGTTTAGGAATCGTGCACGTCTGTACTGTAAAGGCTGAACACAACATTAGCTTAGGAGTAGTTAGCAATAACACTGAAATACTTCCTTTCTATGGATGCCGTTTTTGCCCGGTGTTGAATGACCTCTGACCTAAACTGAGCTGAGTCAGGTCTGCAGTTCTTTAGATGTTTTTCTGGTTCTTTGTGACCTCCTGGATGAGTCGCTGATGCTCTTGGAGCAACTTTGGTAGGTGGGACACTTCTGGCCACTGTTTATAGTTTTCTCCATTTGGATTTAATGACCTTCACTGTGGTTCTTTGGAGTCCCAAAGCCTTAGAAAAGGCTTTTGAACCTTTGCGTGTTAATGACTTTCTTTAGGTGATGGCTTGATGTGGGTTTTTGTTTGGTTTTGATATCTTTTCTCCTATTTCACTTTGTAAGCAGCAGGGCTGGGTCACCTGCTAGTCAGGCTTGGGTGTGGTTAACGAAAGTGAACTCACCAGGAGGCACTTACTTTTTCATAAAGGGCAGGTGTGGATAGCATTTTGTTTCTCCTTAATAAATGAAATCATCATTTATAAACTGCATTCTGTATTTGTCCATGTCTAATATTAGTTTGATGATCTCAAACACGTGACAATCAGGGAGGGAGCAAAAGCGTTTTCACAGCACTGACTGTAATCGCTGGAACTTTTTCCACACCTGTGCTCCGAGGCATAGGTGTGGAAAATGTTGCTATACCTGATTCAGCATGATCACATGTAGGACAAAGGGGCATCCGTGGTTCAAGGGGTTGGGAAGCGTATCTGCCAGTTCGATCCCCGGTTCTGTCAGTCTGTCCCAGGGCAGCTGTGGCTACGACTGTAGCTGCCTCCACCAGTGTGTGAATGTGAGAGTGAATGAATAGTGGAGTTGTAAAGCGCTTTGGGTGCCTTGAAAAGCGCTATATAAATGCAATCCATTATTAAAGATTTAACGTGAGTGCAACTCCCTCACCAAGTAATATCTGTATAAGTGGTCTTATGGTCTTGTTACACTCACTGGTTAGAGTTTGGGTGTGAGGGAGAAACCATCGTAGACGTTATAAGGCCAAAACAGAGAGAATGAGGAGGAGCTTCTTCCCCCAGGCTATTCGGGCCCTGAACCAGGTGTAGGACTGGACTCTCCCACACATCACATCACCACACGTACTAATCCTATAATTTATAATCTTTATAATCTCTTTCTGCTATTTGCACAATTTTTACTGTAAATTTCTAAGTTAATTTGTAAATTTTGTAGTAACCTGTAAATTGTAAATACTGTAAAACTTTTTCTGTCAAATTCAAATTCAAATAAAATTTGAATTTGAATTTGATTATAAAGGTGGGAAACATGGCGCTTAAATAAATCTAAATGAAATCTCAGAACAAATAAACTAATAAGTTCAACTAATAACAGCGAATAAGACCTGATTCTGGTTAAAGCTGTTGGCCACGTAACGTTGGACATGTGATCACCTCAGGTTAGCAGGATGCTGTCACATTCTCATTACGCCTGAGTGCAGTGTGCAGTGATGAACAGTAGATGGAGACAGACGTGCATGTATACGTGTGACCATGCTGTGCCTTCAGTCGTTTAAACAATTACTGTCAACTTAATAATAATTAATGATCACAAACAAAAACAATCCAGATAAAAATAATAACAACACGTGTTTTAATAAGTGTGCCGATGAACTGGTCTTCTAATGAGTGTAACAGTCACGGCCCTCACAGCGTTGGCGACTACATTTGAGGGCGTTTCTGGTCACTTTGACCCCGCCCACCCCTCCATTTCTCCGGCCTCTCAGGTCAGTAGTTTGAAGCTTTTTCCCTTCGCCCTGCAGCGTCGGAAACATCTCGTTAAACCAGCATGTGGTAGTTCTGCACCTGCGTTTGTATGAGAGGAAGCGCTGCTGCACACGTTCTTGGAGTGACGCGTGAGTCCAGACGGGCAACAGGTGTCCTGTGTTGCAGGTATGTTTCTTTTTCTGTCGTCATATAAATGTGTATCTGATGGAAGAAGTGCAGTCTGTTTTTCTGTGGCTCATGGAGCTTCTTCGTTTTAATGTTGGAAAAAAGAGAGACCAACGTCTCACCCCTCGTTCCCTTTTTTAATGCGGGTTACCTCAAACTTGAGTGGGCTCCTCACAGAAAGCGGCTCAGGTCAGAAGGCCGTTCAGAAGCTGTAGATGGGTGCCGGTGTTCATGGTCAAGGGGAAATAGAGAGGGGGCCAGCAGAGAGGGGGCCAATAGAGAGGGGCCAGCAGAGAGGGGCCAGCAGAGAGGGGCCAGCAGAGAGGGGCGCACCCTGTTAGGAGGAGATTCTGGGTGTGCTGCTGTCTGTGGAGGTGCTGGGCTGCTTTGTGACAACATTCCTCCCACCACAGGTGGGTGATGGTTACAGGTTTGACTGCATAGCTGCTTTTCCGGTGCACATGACACAAAGAGAGGAATGTCTGGATTACGTAATTAAAGGTCTCCAAGTCTGGGCCAACAGTGGAAACACAGCGAGCTGCAGCGGCTTGCTTTCAGAGTTTTCCAAACCCGTCTCTGTCGGCATGTTTTGGCTGGTTTTGTGAGATTTTTGATCCCTCGTCTGTTTTTGTTTTGTATCTTCTCCCCAGCTGATCCACGGTGCACATTCATGCATCTAAAACTGTCTTCAGAGTGTGACATCAAACGCACCGCGTGCTCCTGTGAGGTTTAATTTGACGTGTCCTCTGCAGCCTGCATTAATCTGATCTCTCCCACAGGGCACTCTGTCCTCTGGTTCTTCATCATGTCGACTGAGGTGTTGCAGCGGCTCAGCACCATAACACTGAGCACCGAGCACCTGCGTCGTCTCCCTCACCTCTCAGACTTCCTCCCGTTCTCTTTACCGCCGCCTGGCCCCACCGTCGCTGCCTCCCAGGTGCCCAGCCTGTTCCGGGAACCCTACATCCTGTCAGGATACCGTCCTGTCCAGCAGGACTGGCGCTGCTACGTCCTCAGCCTCTTCCAGAAACACAATGAGTCCCTGAACGTGTGGACCCACCTGCTGGCCGGTCCTGTGCTGCTGCTCCGCTGGTGGGCCAACGTCGCCACCCTGGGGTGCACCTTGGATTCGTCCTCGCTACCTCTGCTCCTGTTCTTGCTGTCGTCTCTCACATATCTGTGCCTCAGTGTGGCGGCTCATCTCCTGCAATCTCACTCCGAACGCGCGCACTACTTCTTCTTCTTCCTGGACTACGTGGGCGTGGCCGTGTATCAGTACGGGTGCTCGCTCGGCCACTATTTCTACGCGTCTGAGCCAGCGTGGCGAGAACGCGTTGGGGTAATGTTTCTGCCTGGCGCCGCCTTCTTTGGGTGGCTCTCCTGCACCGGCTGCTGTTACGCCAAGTTCAGGTACAGGCGGCCATATCCACCTCAGCGTAAAGTCTGCCAGCTGATCCCCGCCGGCCTAGCGTACGTGCTGGGCATCAGCCCCATCGCCCACCGCCTGCTCACGGTCTCCTGGTCACACGAGCCCTCGCTGCCCTTCCACGCTCTCCAGATCGCCTGTTTCCTCTCGTCGGCGCTCTTCTTCTCTTGCCCCATCCCTGAGCGCTTCTTTCCAGGCACCTGTGACTTTGCCGGCCAGGGTCACCAAATCTTCCACGTGCTCCTGTCCCTGTGCACCTTGTCCCAGCTGGAGGCTTTGTTCCAGGACTACGCCCGGCGGAGGGATACAGTGGTGGAGTTATTTGGGGAGCGGCAGTTGTGGTGGGCGTGCGTATCCTTCCCCGTCTTGTTGGTGTGCTGCATCCTGACGGCGCTGATCGCAATGAGGCACATGAGCAAGGCGCTGCAGAGTAAAGACGAGTGAGAGCGCGACGAAGAAAAATCAAAGATCAGAATTATTTTAATAACAAAACCAAGTCATGTGTTTAAACATATTTACTTTGTCTAGAAGATTAAGATAACAGACTGTATCTTATCACTGAAATACTTGAAGAATAAAATACTCTGAAACTTCCTCCGGTCTGGTGTATCTGAAGATTTAACGGCTGATTCATGAAAGAAATAGTTGCCATAATTTGCTAATTAGCTGAGTGAAGTTTTCCACAGTGAGTCACCCTCCCATGTAACTGGTCACAGAGTAATCAGAGTAATCCAGCAGCACGATAACCTGAAATAGTCTCTGGATGCTGTTGGAAACATATCGAGAACACAAACATTTATACTGTCGATCACGTCCAGAGAAACTTGACGCGCTTTTGTCCTCGTCTGAGATTCACGTGAGACCAGAAACAGGATGAAGGTTGTTGTGTGGAGCGGGCTGAGCGGCGTGTGTTTACAGGCATCATAATGGCAGCTGAACGCTAGATCTCGTCGACCCTGTTTGTTCCCATTGAGGAAAGTAGGT